AATTCCTAGAGTTGGTTTTCAATTTGGAAACAAACCCCACATTGCCTGCCAGAAAGATCTTACTAGTTTATTCTCACACCAAGAGTGAAAAGGCTCCTGTCCCACACAACCTCACCAATATGGGGGTATTATTCCTTACTTCTTTGCAATCTAGGTGAAAAAGATCTATTTTGATGTGTTATTTCTTAATAAGTATGATCACTTTTTCCTATTTTATTAATCATTTATGTTTCTTTTTATATGAGTTTTACAGATGTTTACAGATGATACTTTGATTTAACCTGGGGGATTTTCTGACATGAGCATTTTTAAAGAAATATGCATGTCCGTGGTAAATTTTAAAAAGCAGAACAAAAGGATATGTGGAAAAGTAAGTTTCTCTCCCTCTGACTCTAAGTACCAGAGTTCTCCAGGTAACCATTTCTACCAGTGTCTGGGATCTTCTCAGGGGTCTTATTTATAAGAACAAGCAATATGACATTTTCATAAATAAAGAGCGAGTATGAGTGAGATGAGGGCTGCACTTGGATAGCAGATTGTTTTCCTTCCTTTTTCCCTCACAGGGATCCAAGCACTATGCCAGGAGCCGTGGGTATAATGGTTACTGAAATACATTCTCTGCCTTTGAGGAGATGTGTGCTTACAAAATGCTTTGATAAAGATTTCAACAGAGGTATTTACAATGACATGTGAGTGAACATATATTTGATAAGTGTCTGCTACATGCTACATACTTTACTACAGTCCTTCCTGAATGTCCTGTCCTCATTTACTTTCCCAACAACCCTGAAAGGTAGGTATTGTTGTCTCATTTTACAGATGATGAAAAACACCCACCCACCAGGCCTTTATAGCATGCAGAATGAAGCTTTTCTCTCCAGAGGCACCATGAAGGATGATAGCCAAGAAACAAACAAGTTCATCATTTAAAGCCATGATGCCTTCTCTTGGATCCTAATTTTCCTCTCTCACCAAGGAGGACAGTTGAGTTTCTAAAAGCAGCCTTTCCAGGAAGACCCTGAAAACATTTTTCCACAGTTCCGCAAACAGATTGTGAACAAGTCATTTCATGGCAAGCCCTGTAGACAGCCAGCTTGCTAACCAGCATCTGCTCTAAGAGGATACTGGACCACCTTGGGAGCACTCCCAGGAAAAGAGAAAGGCTCCATGACACTGGCTTGAAGTGGAGTAGATTATTCTGACTCATGATTCTGAAAGGTTTATTAACATTTGCATGGATCAAAGCCAGTACAACCAAGATCCAAATATTCTGTTTCCAAAGAAATTTCCTTTTGTTGTAAAATGATGCAAGTGTATGACTTGGATCACCAAA